TTAACATCAAACTAGTGAAGGGGCCAATCAAAGGTAGCAGCTAGAGACAACAAAACTCAAACTGAAGTCATCTTGGTCACAAGAGCAAAGGTCTCTAGGTAGTCGAAACCATACATCTGAGTGTAGCCTTTAGCAACCAATCGAGCCTTAAACCTCTCAATAGTGCCATCAGAATGGTACTTAATAGTGAACACTGATTTACAACCCATTGGTTCCTTCCCTTCAGGAAAATCCACAATATCCCAGGTATGGTACTTATGCAAAGCATCAAGTTCGGTCATCATAGCATCCCTCCATTCAGGTTTGGACAGAGCTTCTGGTATAGACCTAAGACTCACATGGGTAGAAACAAAGGCAAGAAAAGAGTAATAGGTAGGGGATAGAAGGTTGTAGGACAAGTGTTTGGAGATACAATGTGTTGTACACTTCCACTATCCTTTTCGAAGGGCAATAGGAAGGTCAAGGTCTGGGAAGGTAGGTAGGTCAGAGGAGGGTTGACCTGTTACCTCAGTAGTGATGGAAGGTGCAAGAGGTTTTGCGGAAGGAGTGGAAACAACTTGCCCATGCCTGAATCTTTGCCGTTGTTACCACCTTTAGAGCACAAGATGTGAAGGAAATGTAGGAGGATGAGTTGGAGGGGGAGCAGGAACATGTGGTCGAGACATAGTGGAAGGGGAGGCACCAAAAGAAGATGACTCAATAGGGGACTCAAAAGGAACTGGATGAGGAATAGTTGGAGACTTAGCAAATGGCTCCTCAAGATGATCCCCCTTAGGAGAAATACCAAAATAAGGAATGAACTCAACAAATGTGACATCCCTAGAGAGAAAGAAGGTGCCACGAGCTAGATCAAAACAACAATATCCCTTTTGTGTGAAGGCATATCTCAGAAAGACACACTTATGTGCCTTAGGCTCAAATTTGTGTCTCTGATGATTATGAACATATACATAGCAAGTGCACTCAAAGACTCGAAGAGGAAGAGAAAAGAGATTTCCATCCGAAAAGAGAAGGCTAAACGAGGTTTTGAAGCCCAGAACCTGAGAAGGCATACGGTTAATCAAGAAGGTGGTAGTAAGGACAACATCCCCCCAAAATTTAATAGGAACATGAGATGCAAAAAGGAGGCATCAAGCAACCTCAACCACATGGTTGTTCTTCCTTTCTGCCACTCCATTCTGTTATGGAGTGTAGGAACAAGAATTCTGATGAATAACCCCAAAGGTCTCAAAGTAGGATGAAAGGTTCTTCTCAAAATATTCCTTAGCATTATCAGATTGGAATATTTTGATCTGTGTATTAAACTCAGTAAGGATAAGCTTGTGAAAAATTTGCACAATAGTTGGTACTTCATCCCGGGATCTCATGAAAGAGGATAAAATACTTGTAACCCCTCATAGTAGGCAAATGATATGGACCCCACACATCAAAGTGCACAATATGAAAAAGAGAAATGGATCTTTTATTACTTACTGAATAAGAGTGTCTACAATGCTTTGCAAGTTCACATGACTCACAATGAAGAATCGATAAAGACACCCTTAAACATATCGGGAAACAAATGACTGAAGGCTGAAAAAGGTAAATGACCAAACCACAAATGACATGACATGACTCTATCAATAGACTTTGACACAACAGACTCCAAAGCTACTCCATTGGGTGGTCCAAGACACCTATCAGGTGTGTCCAGCAAGTATATTCCATTCGTCTCATGGCCACTCCCAATCGTCCTCTGAGATTTTAGGTCCTGAAAAACACAATGGGTAGGAAAAAAAGGTTATACTATAGTTCATGGATTTAGTCATGCTACTAATAGATAAAAGATTGGTATTAAGCTTTGGGGACATGAAGAACAGAGGATAAAACAAGTGTGTCAGAGGCTTTGATATCTCCTTTGCCAGAGATGGGAGCAAGAGACCCATCAGCAAGAGATAGCTTCTCTCTACCAGAGGAGATGATAGGAACAAAAGAGGTTAGGCAAACTTGTCATATGGTCTGATGCACTAGAATCAATAGTCCAAGGGATTTTATGATTACCTGAAAGAAAAGCATGATTTGCAGAAGCACGAGTACCTGAGTGAGCAAACGCAGATGATGAAGTGCTGCCAGAAGTGTAGGATGCTGTTACAGTGGTACCTAAGTGATTCAGTAACCTCCCATACTCCTCAAACTCTGCCTTTACTGCTGCCAACTACTCTATAGATAACGTTTCTTCACTCTCCTTGTTCCCTCCTTCAGGTATTGTGGCAACATTAGCATTCTTAGGATTTCTTGTTTGTAGATTCTTCTTAAAATTGCTGCTATTGCTGTTATTGTTGTTATTCCGAAACCTATCCGTGAGAAGATCAGGATGGAGTTTCCAACAAGTGCCCTTAGTATGCTTTGGTTTCTTGTAGTATTCACATATCACTTCTTTCTTCTTGGTCGGACCTTTCGACTTTATTCTAGCATGTGCAAAATGTTCTGTAGGTGAACTTTGTAATTTCACCTCTATCGTCTACTCACTTCACTTCTTACCATAGCATATGCCTAAGCAAGAGTGACCTCATCCTTTGCCAAAATATTCTGTCTATAGTTGTCAAGGCAACACCTAAGCGACTAGGCGGTTTTTGAAGGTTGCCTCGCCCAAACGCCAGATGTTTTGTGCACTAGGTGCCTGGGCGGGTGCCTACATACAAGGCAGGCGCCTAATGTATCTAAAATATATTTTTTTAAATTTATTAGTTTAATATTCATTGGTTGTTGTATTCTTTTAAAATAAGCCTTGTTACACTATATCAGTTTAGTATTAAGACAACTATAGAATAGTATATACAACTAAACTAAGACAAGGGTTTACAAGGGTTTTGGTTTGACTAGAGAGGGAGGAGAACCGAACAGGCGAACTCTGCAAGCTCGAGTAGCCCAGCTCCATCGCAGTCGCATTCGCACCTTAGTTCGAGCATGCACTTCTTCTTCTTCTTCTTCTTCAGATTTTAGAGTTTTAGCATTTTTTACTTCTTTTTGAAAAATAGAGGCTCTGGCAGTCCTCCCTTTCTTCTTCTTCTTCTTCTTCTTCTTCTTCTGCTTCTTCTTCTTCTCTCTCTTCTCATATATCAATTCAGTCAAAAAAACAGGGGCTCCGCCCCTATACTCCTTAGTCCTCCCTTTCTTCTTCCACCCACCCCATGAGTAGTGTCCTCCCTTTCACACTTGAAGTCTTGAATCATCTCAGTTTTTAATCTCTTCTCTAATCTCTTCTTTAATTCTTCTTCTTCTCATTCAAATTTTTTATGACTGATTTTTTTTATGGCTGATTCAGTGATTGTATGGCTGAATTGAATCAAATGTTTTTTTTATGGCTGAATTACATGTCTGAAAAGCATATATAAAGTAAAAACTCAATAAAACAAGCATTTTAAAATTCCAACGCCTATGCGCCCTGTGGTCGCCTAGCCTCGCCTAGGCACCTTTTAAACTATGATTCTATCTGGTAATGTCGAACTCAAGGTTGAGTCTTGTAAGAAACTCAAACACCCAGTTTCGTTCCACTAGTTTCCTAGAAGTTTTTGCATCATTAGTACTCTCCCAAACAACTGTCTTCATAACATCAATTTCCTGCCATAGTCATTTCAGCATGGAATAGTAGATCGCTACACTCTTCTCCCCCTGTCTCATATTTTTCACAACACTTTTCAGCTTATAGACTCTTGCCACATTCAACTTTTGTGAATATGTTTCTGTAACCCTATGTTTACTTATATGGGGTTGCATAGAGTTAACCAACCATCCAATAGCAGTGTAGTTCTCCTGCATCCATTTCTCATATGTAGGGCCTGACTCTGCGATTGTGCCCAAGCTAGACAATTGGTGCCATCTAGCTTGATTGTGGTCACTCCAGTAAAAAAGGAATCTATCGGGCCAACCTCAAATACCAGCATCTACTTCGATTCACTTCCGAAATGCTCCATTGATAAATGAAAATCAAAAAACCAGTTTTTTTTTTTTTCAGTCTATATAAACTTATCTGAGGTCAATACAGTACCTCGAGACTTGAAAACTAGGGTTTTGCTGCACCTGGCTGTCAGGGAGGAAGAGAGAAGAGGTAGCCGCTCCTAGCAAATCTTCCAAACCACCTACAAGTCTCATATGCACACTTCTAGAGATCAAACTAAACCTCCCAAGTCCTAAGTGCCACACCCAAATCTTCTCCTTGACCTGTAACTTGAAAGATCTCTAGTCGGCTAGAGTTTTGGGCAGAAAATTACAGCTCCACTTCTTGGCAGTTTTCGGCCAGATTCTAACTCTTCAAACCCTCTACCAACTAGGCAAAAATATTCTCTGATCTATCAAGAATTTATCTCTCCATACACACTCCTAATCGAAGGGTGTATGGGAAAAGAGAAAAGAAAAAAGAGGGAAAACCTGCTCTGATACCAAGAAGTAAATCTGACTTCTAAATCTGATGAGAACTTGATTAAAGAGGTAAAACGTGAGAAAGGAAGAAGAAAAGAGCAGAATAGAAGAAGGGGATAGAGAAGAAGAAGAGGGTTCGATTAATCACCTCTCTCCCCTCACTAATCCTTTTATTAATCTTCATTAATGTGGTTAATTACAAATCAGCCCTTAAGTGGGGGGTCCAGCGATAAAATTAAAATAACTTAAAAGAAGTTAACAAGCCCATTAGCATACAAAATAAATAACCTACTACTAAAACATAAAATAGACACTAGGGCCCATTTGTCCCAGTCTCTCTACAACTTTATTCGAGTCAAAAGTAGAATGATAAGAGAGTTATGCAGTCGGAATGCCATCAAGAGTAATGTGCTGCCTTGCCCAATTCATTATATGAAGAGATGATTCCCTTTCTGATGTCGTGGACAGTAAGGCAATCAGCACCGTTATATCCAGTTATCCCAGGTGATAAAATATCACACTTACTAACAGAACTCACCAAATATATATACTTTATTGAGCTACAAAATCCAAGTGACGTGTATGACGATAAAATTTGTCACCTTACTTTTGACAGATCCCCTTCAAGATTCGTGCAAAGAACAGGCACTACGTTCTGCAATAGACGGAATATTCAAATGATGTCAATCTTGAATCTCGAAATCTTGATGAAAAGTAGGGCAGTTACCTGGTAAACAAATGAGAGTACAATTATGGGTATACTTGATGGGACAGCTTCAAAGTTGCCTTGCAGAAGTGTGTTCCATTGCAGGTTCCCACTGGTCACTCCCTAAGGAAAGAAACTTTGTTCTATTTACTTTTACTACAAATGGCATAACTTCCCACAAGAAGACACAAATTAAGACATAATTCTGATAGCATCCAACTGGGGATGACTAATGTTTTGTATAATCCTACTATAATATGTTGTTCATGCTAAAACAAATGCCATGCATTATGAGAGGTGGCAAGATTAACTGCTTAACAGATGAATGAAATGCCTAAAAGGATGATCAGCTTTTCTGCTAGAGAAAACAATTCTCAATTTGTAGGTGTTAGTGGTGAAAAGAATAAAGATATTAGGTGGAAAGGTAGTTTTGCCTCGTTACATATTAGTTAAGTAGGGGTAATTCAATATGTAATTCCACCCCTAGAGGTTGGGACAAATTTCTCCCCACCAATTTCTCCTTTTTCTTCTCTTATTTTTGTTTTTTATTATGTATTTTAGGTGCAGGGATATTTCTGTAATTTTTCTTATTCTCAGGGACTTCCTTGTAACTTTTATATTTATTAATATAACATCCTGTTGTCTTCTTTTCTTCTCTTCTCTTCTATTTCTTCTCTTCTCATGAGGTATCTGTGAGAGATTACATGGTATCAGAGCATAATCTGTCATAGAAAACCATTTTTTTTCTTCTCATCTTCTACAGCAATCTGGTTTCTTAAAGGGTGCAGCTCTGTAATCTTCTTGGACTGATTGGCTATCATCTCTTCAGTGTTTTCCTTTTCTTTTTCTGGTCATAGGACCAGTTGTCTCTTGTTTGTGGGTGGTGTTTCACCTTTCAGCACATGTAGGAAGGTTTTGTGACCTTCGAAGGAAGAGTTTTTTGGGTGTTTTCCATGTCAAAAGTGTTTGATAACTGTGTGAAGACCAGCAGTAGTCAACCAAGTTTATTTAGTAAACAAGTTTGAAATCTGGTAAGTTTGTTGCCCTTGAACTGTTTGAAAAAATGTTTCCTTGGTGTTAGAAGCCTCCTGAGTTGTTTGTGTGGATGTTTGAGCTTCGGTTTAGCTCTTTTTTTTTTTTTTATCTTTTATTCATCTGTTGGTGTGTTTCCTAGAAATGTATCAGTTGTGTGACCAGTTTCGGGACCTAATGGTGTGATGTAAACAATTTGTTCAGCCATTTGAACTGGTAGTTCAATCACATCTAATCCTCTTGGAGGACAAAGTAGTGCTAATAGCAGCATGGAGAATGTTACTTTCCCAGTTTCCATCATCCTTCTTGATGGTTTAAATTACTTGGAGTGGTCTAAAAGTATAAAAATCTTTGTTGGAGCCAAGGGAAAGTTGGGGTATCTAACTGGGAAGACCAAGAGACATACTACAGAGGGAGCTGGCTGTGATAAGTGGGAACGAGAGAACTATTTAATCATGTCCTGGCTTGTTTCTTCCATTCGGTGCATTTTGCTAGAATCTCTCACATCTATGTGGAAGGAGTTGGACCACTATAGGACTATTGACTGGAAAAACAATGATGATGCTTCTGCTTATAGAAAATTACTTTCTCAAGAAAGAGTATTTGCTTTTTTGGCAGGTCTGAATTCCATTTGTGAACCTCTTCGAGTTCAAATTTTGGGCAGCAAGGAACCATCAGGTCTTGAAGAAGTCTTTGCTTTGGTTCAGTCTGAGGAAATTAGGAGGACAGCTATCAATCCTCCTGAGGGGGAGCAGGTTGCTTTCCTAAGGGTGAAAACAAGAGAGGTGATATGCAAAAAAGAAGTAATTTTGGTAAGGATAAATTATGGTGTACCCACTGTAGAAGGTCTCAACACACTAAGGATTTTTGTTGGGATTCACATGGAAAACCTAAAAAGTTCCAAGAGAAGTAAAGTAAGAAACCTAATGCAGCCAATACTGTTTCAACTACACCAAATCAAGGGATCCAACAACAGCCAAGTAAGGGTAGCTCCTCCACTGTTCAATCTACGGGCTCTACACCTAGGGAAGGTCTTTTGAGTACCATACGTAATCGATTTGAGCAGTTTGGGCATGTTCTCAGACAGTTGGAAGAAACTTCCCTTACTCCCTCCACTTCTTATGCAGCAAACTCAGGTACTCATGCCAATGGTTTTCATGTTTCAACCATTTCTTCTTAATCTCTTCTTATCATGTTTTGTCTGGAAAAGATAAAGTAAAGCTTGTTGATGGCTCTTTCTCTTCTATTTCTAGATAGGGAGTTGTCTCCCTTCCTGTTGGTTTAAACTTTCCTTCCTAATTCTTCTGTGTTTCAGGATTTGACTTTGAGGAGGATGATTGGTAGGGAACGTATGACAGATGGACTCCACATTTTGGATTCAGTGGCGTCTGCTTCTTCTACAAGCACCAATTTATTGAGTCAATCGAGTCTACAAAAGAGTAGTAATAAAGATGAGATGTATCTCTGGCATTGTCATCTTGGTCATTTATCCTTTGCTTCCATAAGATGTTTGTTTTCTGAATTGTTCTAGTCAATACAAATGCATTAACTTCTGAGGAAATCTCCTCTTCCACCCCGCAATCCCCCCCCCCCTGAAGAGGATTCTGGGAAGGTTCAAAGTGTAGAGAACACTGATGTGGACCCTACTGCTGTGGTCCCCACTGTGTTCGTATGGCAGCATACTTTTGTTAGTTATGTCAGTGTTAGTTGGTAGTTATTATAACTTGTTATTTCAGCTTTATTATTAGTTTATTTGCCATGTAAGCAATAAGGACAATTCAGCCCTTTTACAATTAGTCAACATATATAAATATTAAGAGTGGGTCGGCAGATCAACTGATCAACCTTCTCTCTCTTTTCAAAATCTCTGTGTGCTTCTTCTCTCTTCTCCCTCTCTTCTTCTTCTCTTCTGAAATTTCTTCTTTCTTTTTCTTTTGAATTCAAGACTGATTGTAGTCTTGATCGACTACTTGGTATCAGAGCCGATCTAGGAGCTCTTATGTTAGTCTTGATCTCCTAGGTTTAGAAGTTTTTCAACAAAGAAGGAGGATCGGCTGATTCTTGGAGGTTACTAGTAGTGTGCGGCTACTACTAAGAAGATTGTAGAAGGCTGGGAGAGTTCCAGTAGTCAGGAAAAATCAGAAAAGGCTTCGGATCCTCAAGATTAGGGTTTTGCATCAGACAGAAGGTGGCAGCCAGAGATTTTCTTTCATGAAGTAAGTTTTTTCTTGAGAATAACCTTGGAAAAATCATCCTGGTCTATTCTGAGAGGTGCGGCTGGAAAATCTGTGTTTTTTCCTCAAGGGTTTTGAGAGAAAACCCTAAATTTCAGAACTGTTGTTGGTTTCAGATCAGATTTTTAAACTGGTTTCGTATAGAATTCTGTTTTCTTTGTTCTTTGGAAGACCTAGGCCGGCTGTTATCAGTTGTTTGGGTGCTGTTTTCTATTACAGTGGTTTAAAAGGTTTTTTATTATTAATTATTGACCAAGAATGGAGTTCAAGAATCAGGGGGAAGGTGTTTTTGGGACTAGCAATGTTGGTAACATGTCTGAAAATGCATTTCAGATTACAACTGTGAAGTTTGATGGATCAAATTACTTAGAATGGGCTCAATCGACTATGATGGCCATTGGGGGTAGAGGAAAACTCAGCTACTTGTTGGGAGATGTGAAAGAACCAACTAAGGAGGACCAAACTTATACCAAATGGGTTTAGGAGAACTATTTGGTTATGACATAGAAAGCAAGTTGAAACTAATAGACTCATAGAGTTTTTGAATTCCTAGATGCAACAGACTCATAGAAAGCAAGTTGAAACTAATAGAGTTATTGAATTCCTAGATGCAACAGACTCATAGAAAGCAAGTTGAAACTAATAGAGTTTTTGAATTCCTAGCTGGCTTGAATCCTGACTATGATATCGTGAGACAACAAATACTAACAAGGGACAGTGCGACCTTATCTCAAGCCTACTCCTTAGTGCAAAGTGAAGAGACTAGGAGAAAGGTTATGATGCAGCATCAGCCCTTCCAACCAGCCTTGGCAGCAGTTAAACCTAAGTCTAGGGGTGATACGGAGAGGGATATAAAGAAGGAAGATAAGCGGGATCTAGTGTGTGAACATTGCAAGAAACCTAAGCATACTAAAGACATGTTGGAAGTTGCACCCTCATCTAGTCCCAGCAAAACTGAGGAACAAAAGGGGTAATGCTCATATGGCTGTTAATACTGACTCTACATCTTCATCGAGAACAAAAGGCACGCCTCTAGACACCCTAGCTGCTGTCCAGGCTGCCCTAACTCAGTTGGAAAAGGAAGTTGGGAATTCAGCTCAATCATCTCAGCCACCATCAGCTCCTCCCACATCAGCCTTTGCTCATTCAGGTACTCGGGCCTCAGCTTACCATGCTTCAGTTCTAGGTAACACTAAACATTGTTGGGTAATAAACTCAGGTGCATCTGACCATATGACTAGCTTGCCATCACTGTTCTCTACCTATCACTTATCTTCTGGTAGAGATAAAGTGTTCATTGCTGATGGTTCCCTTGTTCCCATTTCTGGCAAGGGAGACTTCAAGTTGTCTAATACCATTTCCTTATCTTCAGTTCTGCATGTTCCTAAGCTTAATACTAACTTGCTTTCAGTCAGTAGTATTACAAATCATCAGAATTGTTCAGTAACTTTTTTCCCTGACCGATGTGCTTTTTAGGAYTTGGAGACAAGGAAGGTGATTGGGATTGGCCGTGAGATGAATGGGATCTATCTTCTTGGAGAGAGTTCTCATTGGGAAGATCGTGAAGATAGGAAGTCTTTTGTTTCTCAATCTCTTAGTCAGGTTATGCTTTGGCATAATCGGTTGGGTCATTTATCCTTTCGGTCTTTGAAGAGTTTGTTTCCAAATTTGTTCAAGTCTGTTCAGATGTCCATTTTGAGATGTGAGAGTTGTGAGCTTGCAAAGCATTGTAGAACATCTTATTCCTTGAGTAATAAAAGTAGTAATTCTTTTGATATTGTGCATACCGACGTTTGGGGCCCGTATCACATTACTTCTATGGGGGGATACAGATATTTCTTGTTGTTTGTTGATGAT